TTAGCAGCACAAACATCATCCAGTTACCTTCTATGGGTTATGTTTTGTGCTTTTGAAAGTGTGTGGACGAGCAGCACTGTGGCAGAGCTGGCATGTGTGTGTATCTGCGTGTGTGAGTTCACTAGTCCCGTGTTGTAGCACTGATGACCCGAGGTGTTTCTGGCTTCCCTTCGCCAATCGGAACCTCTCCCTTTGTGCCCAACAGAGCATGTCACAGTTCGAGCACACGCCTGGCGACAGGTGTGTGGAGGAGGAGGTGTGTGTGTGTGTGTGTGTGGGGGGGGGGGGGTGACAAACTAATGCAGGCAGGAAAAGGTCTGTGTTTCCTCAGGCAGCAGCTTCACCTGAAGTGTCTGAGCAGAGTCCCCACACTGACACACTACAGCTCCGCGAGTCCCTCACGAAACATAACGCTGCTGTCAGAATACACAGATACGTGGCATATAGTCACACTCGTGCAGTCTGGAAGTAGTCGACGTTCAACCGGCCATTTTGTTTCCAAATAAAGCCCTCACAAGGAAATGTCTTTTTTTTCCCCGAAACACAAATCATCCACTTCCCCTCAACCACACATCTTCAACACAAATCCGATCCCACCCTCTCCACTCCGCCTGGTTGGCTCTAAATCTCCAGTCTTGTGGTGACTGGGACCTCAGGCATGCCTCTAACGCCTCCCAGAATGCACCAGTACAAATTAGATTTCGCTCACATGGCTAAGCCCCTTCTCTGTTCCCCTGTTTCTTTCAAGTCAAGGTGTCTTTTCGTCTTCTTTTCGTCTGTGGCCCCCGCTCGTTACRCCCTTGTTCAGTAGGGCTCACCTGCATAACATCATCTTGTTTCTCAAGATGCCGTAAGGCAGCTCGGCACTGACTACACACAAGGAGATAAGCTGCACACCAGGGTTATTATAGTTAACTAAAACTAACTAAATAACGAAAACTGAAATTGAAAAAACATTTTAGTTAAATGAAATAAAAACTGTAATAAAATGAAAAAAACATAACTAACTAAAACTGTATAATCTTTTTACAAAACTAATTAAAACTGAAATAAAAGAATATCCTTAGTTTTAGTATTTGTCAATTTATTTTGAGACGTGGACTAATTAAAAAACTCATTTTTTCTTCAAAATGAGCAGTTTCACTGTGGGCAGCTTACGGCAAATTATGGTCCGTAATGTCACCTGTTTACAGTCTGYTGCTGCTGCTCAGCGCTCGCCTGCAAAATGATGACAATAAAAGTTTTCTTTGAATATGACTGTGAGAAAATTAAAAGCGTCTTGTAGTGGAAACGGATAATAGAATAGGTGGAATACGGACAAATTGAGTATCTTGACAAGCTAGCTTCTCTCATTAGCTCCCATGAAAAACAAGCCACAGCCCAGCCAGGTAGCACCAGGATCTAGACAACTATTGCCCAAGTCCTTTGTTGGCAAAACTGAGTAACAGGATTATCTTAGGAAGTTGTTGCTATAACGAACTGTGTTGACTGATGATTAAATATCTGCTGGTTAGTTAACTCACAGGAACACTTGAAGCTGGAGGATGCATCGGCAAATATGTTTATTCAAACTACAAAAAAAAATAGTACTAGAACTAATAGAAACTAAACTAAACTAAAACTAGCCATTAAAAAAGCAATGATAAGTAATAAAAACAAGCAAATCCATGCTAAAAACTAATTAAAACTAACTGAATTAAAAGATAAGATGTTAAAACTAAATTAAACTAAACTATAATGAAAAATCCAAAATTGTTATAACCTTGCACACTCAGTTAAAGTGAACATATCCTGCTTTTAAACCCTTCTTTTTCACACATTTAAATCGGTCAGGTGGGATCTATATAACATACATACACATAAAGTTGTCGACAAGGGAAGACTTGTTCATCCAGCCTTGCATGTTGGAGCCAGAATCTAAACAGTATCAAGTTATATTGACATTCAGATGTAGATGTTTTAGTAAATGAGATRTGCATCTTGCTGTCATCTTATCTGTTCCCAGAAGCCTTTCATCTTTGTCATTCAACCAAGGTACTTCTCAATTAGGGCTTTGATATCTTTAAGCAAACAGCAAGTGGCTTTTACACTTTGACATCCAGCTGGTGGCTCTCAGCATACACAAGTGGASATGAGTGGATTTCTATTCAGCTCAGAATGCAGGCTTATTTATTAGTAGTCAAGCCCAGGAGAAATTAAACCCTTGAATGATGCACACCAAATATGTCCTGCTTTAGCCACGAGCGGTGTTTAAATTAAGATTCACACTAAGCCGTGTAAAAGCAGAAATGCGGGCGGATTTAAGGGCTGTCCTCAGAAAACAACAATCTACCTAAAAAAGGTCCAGAGTGACATAAATGGGGGACACTAAGCTGCACAATTTGATTAGAGGGCGTGAGGGACGTGCAGAGGACATTTCTGCATGGCACAGGACACAATGCTCTTTTTTTGACTGGTTAAATGAGAGCTCATTTTCTTTCCCAACAAAAATCCTTTACAGAGCTTTTTGTTGTGTTAATTAAGCCAGAGCAACCGTTTTGTATGCTGCTTGCATGCTTAGCCACAAAGGAGGGAGAGAGAGCTTTGTGATTTGATTCGCTTGCACCCAAGAGGCATTCTAGTTTGTATTTGGAATTTTCACCAGAGATTTGAGCTCCTAAACGTGTTTTTGCTAAAATGAGTTTGGTTTAGTTTTCCCCTGATAGATACCTCAACAGAATGAAAACACTTTAGAGGATCTCTTTTTGTGTGAACTGGAGTTTTGCCAGCACCCAACTGTTTTGTTACAACAGAGAAGAAATTTCTTTAAAACAATGTGCTGAATCTGTTGGAGGATGAATGTGGGAGGACAATTCAATCTGCAAATTACTTCACTAAAAGCGGAGACAGTCTGTTCTCCTGAACKCGTAGCTTTAGTCGTAGCATTGCTTTAAAGAGAGATATCGTTTTCAAGCCTAACCTGGAGAGTGAAAGGGATGTCTGAGTTTCTTTTCTGAACCTGTTGCCTCTGCAACTTGACTACAAACAGTAGAAAATGAAGATGGCGAGATGTCAGAGTTTGAGGTTTTCTCAGGTAAATATGTACCCCAGAGTGGTGCCCCCCAGCTATTTCCGCTGTTGCTGTGAGCTGCCAATCAGCTGCAAGTGAGTTGAGTAAAGTAGGTTGGCTGTTTGAAATTGTTTTTTAGTAGTGAAAAACACCAATAGTTGTGGGGCTTRTCTAAAAGTAATGCTGTTTTAAACCAATTGCAACACTCTGAGTTAGCATGTTTATTAGAAACTACCTGTCACACTTGCTAACAGCTAACGTAAACACGTCAGAAAGGCTAACCAGATAATTAGMTAGTCAACACCCTGGTGTCGAGCTTGCTAACCAGCTAAATAACATCTAACATTAACCTTGCATGCTAACCAGCTACTTAACAAGGTAACATTAGCACATCAGGTTCCTCAAGTGGCCAATTAAAAGACTAATTTGAGTGTTTCTAATTAGCTAATTAGCTAATAACACATCAGGCTCACTAACTGCCTAATAGACTAGCTAACTTTTATACCTAAGTAAATTCCATGTAATGGATAAATAATTAGTAAATTACATGTTAATGAGTTTTAAAAAATGATTATCTGATTGACTTTAAATAGCACTTTAAATAACGGTCAACTCATTTGGGTGTGTTCTTTCATTCCCATTGGATGAATCTGTGTATCAAAATTGAGATAGCTATAAATATTAGCAATATTATAATACAACCTGATTTTTTCAGATTATAAACATTGTTATAACATAATGTCATTTTACTTAAGCAACTGTTGAATTAGTTGCATATTGGTTTTTAAACAAAAGCAAATAAACCATGAGATTTTGTTTTTGCTTTGTTTAGTTTTAGTACCATAAAACTACAACGTTTTGACTCAAGGTTACTGTACYCTCAGAATATAATACCAGCCCATGCTTAACTATTCTTTGAAAAATGGTTAAACACTAACAGTTTGATAAGTAGTCTGGAAATATCTGTTTGCTTCTATTATAGCTTTGGAGCCTTTTAAGTCTCTCTGGACTTTACCAAGACCCCAGTCTATCACTTCACTCATCATATTGTCCGTGTCACAGAGTACATCTTTCATTTATCAGACAAATTAGCTGTCAAATACCCTGGACTGCTAATAGTTTTTGTTTCAGCTCAGTGTTCTCAATGTTTTCAGTTCCAGAACTAAAAATCTTATGAGACAGTGCAGATCTGCTTCTCACTTCCTTCAAGAAAAGAAACATTCGTTGTCTTTTTTCATGGCCTGTTTTGCGTCATTTGATTCGCCTCCGAAGTTGTGTTTACTGGGTTTTGGATGCAGTCTTGGGTGATTTTCTTTTTTCTCCCTACAGTGTTTATTATTGCATGTTTGAAGACTACAAGCATGACAATGCATCTAAAGGCTTAAAGGCACAGTGTGTAGGATCTTCTCAATTCTTTTAGCCGAAATTGAGATAATCACTAATGACAATAATAAAAAACATGTCTAATCATTGCAGACAAAGACCTTGTTTTATTATTTTTACCTTATAAAAAGCTGTTTATATCTCCATGGTCGTGGGTCGCCAGTACAGGCAGCCGCCATCTTGCACCGCCATCTTGTCTACGAAGGCTCATGAAGGACAAACTGCGGTAGCGACGTCAAAAACGGTTTTAGTTGTAATATTATAAATGTAATATTTGTTGTCTGTCATTGTAGCTGGGATAATTTTACTTATTAAAGCTCATAATCWTACCACTTGAAACATCACTAGCCCTGAAGCTGCTGGTAGACATCGCGGTTGGAATTATCAAAGGTTTTTGACGCTTGAGAGACACCGTAGCAACTCCTTTGCGTTTGGAAGKGGGGGGGGGGGGGGGGRCCAGGGAGGATGATTCAGCCACTCAACCAGTAGATGTCACTGAAAACAACAAATCCTACACACTGTGCCTTTAAACCTGTGCTGCACTTTGTGTTTGTGTTTCTCCCTTCAGGACGCGAAGCTGCGCGAGCTGCTTGACGTCAGCACGCTGGTGGGGAAGCTGGAGAACAGGCTGGTGACGGTGGTGAGCGGCACGGACATGGTCAACATTGCCTACCTGAACTTCATGGCCTTTCAGGAGGAGATTGCGAAGGTGAAAACTGAGAGCCACCAGTAACAATATTTTATAAGGATCAAAATCCGATATGTGAGTTTTAGTTGTTGGTTTATTTCTGACAGGAATGGGCAGAAGAACTGTTCAAGCTGGCATCTAACCTCCTGGCACAGAACATGTCCCGAGAGGCCTGCCTGGAGAAAGCGTATGTTACCCTCACACACAGAAAAACCTAATTCACGGAAAAAAAAAAAACATCTGAAAGCTAACAATTCTTCTTGACAAAAGTAGTCGTTTTAAGTGCATACATCCCAGCAAGCATCCACTGCAGTTACTGAGGTGCACGTCTCCTGCAGGTTACATAAATTACCCCTCCACCTTGCCAGGAAGACTGTTTCGCAATCAGTTATCCTCACGTCACCTCTTGTTTTGTGGCTTAATTGTGTCGAACAGTTTATCACATCATCATCGTCTCACTGAGACGCACACACACACTGGCCCACGTCTGATTTATCTGCGTGGCGAGAGACTAAATGATGCTCATGCAGTGAGCTTAAATATGAATGTGAGATATTGCTTTTAGAGAATACCTGCGGCTGCGCATGGCGACATCTCCCAGCTGTCTGATGTTTATCAGCGAATAGAAGCCATTAACTCGCACCCCTGAGGAGTCTAATTGACTTATGAGACAATAAAAGTGGCCATCGACCGCATAGCACTAGGAGAGTTGGATAAAATGGAAGTGAGCAGGTTCCCGCAGTCACGTCGGCTGCTCACAGCGGCAGCTGTTGTGCACCGCTTCCTTACAAATAAGCCAATACTCCTTCCCACCACTTCTGCAGCTTGTTGAGGCTATATTCTCTGAAATGACGATTATGTTTCTCCGCGTGTGGCCAACTGTGTCTAGCTCTTGAGGCAGTGGCTATGTTTTTTCGAGAGGGGGGGGCGCCGGGTGAGAATGGCCATGTTAGCAGCAACGTGAAGGTGTTTTCTAATGGTTGTTCGATACAAGATGTTCTTTTGAGATCAGCGTGATAGAAATAAAGGCACTCTATTTGGGCGAACCACACTGACAAGTTAAACATTGGTAATCAGGAAGAAACATGATAAATAAGTCCCTTGAATCATCTTTTAGTTGTTTTGACAAGTTCATTCTGAGGTCAACTGTACACACTTTATTGAAAGAGTCTCAAGACAAAAACAAATAATAGAAAACATTCTGTAGCCTTTTTGCAACCAAAAGCATGAGTGACTTTGCCTGTAGAAGGCAACCTGCCCTCTGTAGTGGACACTGTGATGGATACTAATTATTAGCCAGCAGCCACTTAAAGCCCAGCCTGTAACGATAGTTCCTGTTGCAGCGGAGCTATTTATAGCGCAGGTTGCTCCACCCGCGTTGTTGCTGTTGCTGCACGGTTCTGCCCTGCCAATGCTTGAGACTTCCAGGGATTAACTATAAGTATAACCTGGCATATAAACATAGACCGACATTCATGTTATGCARAGAGCTCCACTTGTGCGGACGCTGGGAAATGTGCAMACAGCCGTATGTTTTTTTTTYCCCRTTCACGTAAACACAATCAATGCTTACAAAGCACACGTTCAAAGAGAATACATCTGAGCAGGAATACTGTGCTTAACTGCTACATCATGTTTAAAACATATTCTCTGTCCAGATACACTCGGCTGAAGCTGCAGCTCAATCCTGAGGGACGAATTCCTGTCAAGAAGTAAGTCTGTCGGACTCGCTCACTCGTCTCTCCCCTGATACCTTTCCACTCTTTTGATCAACACAAACTGCACCTCACTCTGCCTTTTCCCTTTCACTCTGGACATTTCAACACGCACCCAGTCTCTACATGTGCACACGCGTTGCACAAGTTGGTGTACATGCATTTGCTGAGTGAGCCTCAGTTCAAAGTTTGCCTCGTGTGCAAGATTTTTCTTTTGTGTCTTTCACTTTGGCCAATATTGCTTTCATTTCTCTTCGCCGTCAGCTCCTTGGAAAATCCAACTCGCTCCATCTCCATTACTCAAGTTGAGATTTCAGGCAGCAACAGTGAACTCCTGTGATAACCTCCCTCAGAGCCACACGGGGAAGCGGTGGGTGTCAAAACACAGAGGCAGAGACGTGCTCCTCGCCGTTTAGGGAATTAACCTCCTTGCTGGGAGGACATGTCTGCTTGACTAATGTCAGCTTGACAGTGCTCTCCCACGAAGCGTACAGTCTTTACTCATAGATCCACACAGGCGCGCCTCAGCAAATAATTAAGACCAACTATCAAATGAAAACAGACCTAAACAATCACACAGTGGCTGTAACAAACCAGAGTTCACAGTAACAAATCACATTTATTGCCTGTAAGCAGAAGAATAAAACAGAAGACAGGAGTTCCTCCACACAGATGGCACAATATTTTAATCTGTCAGAGAACGCTGACGTGTGCTAAATGAACCGGGACGCTGATGAAATCAGATTTTTAGCATCGTTTTCACGCATGTCTTACAGAGAAACAGCACACCCGCAYATTAATTGTTTGTTTTGGATCTGCAGCCGATGACAAGATTTGTTGTTACAAGCTGACATGAATGATAACGCTAATAATAGCACTGACGGAACAACATCAACATTGTGAATGAGGTTTTGTCTGCTTATGTTTGTACTTCAGCCTCACAAAGATTTACAATCATTATTATTTCATGAACGTGCTGATTTTGTGTGGATGTTTGTTTTTTTATTATTCTACTTTCCTGCCAAACATGTATTAAGTCTTTTTGTCAGACGCCATCAAAGGTCTGTGTGTGTGTGTGTGTGTGTGGGGGGGGGCTTCTGGTGACATTCAGGGGCAATTTTAGGACAAAACGCCTACTTTTGGGGACAACTGGTGCATTTGGGGACTTAAGTTGAGTCCCCATTTGGTTTAAATGCCATTGGTGGGTTGGGGGTTGGGTTTAGGACCAAGGTGTGAATTGAGTTCAGGTTAGTTTTAGGGTCAGATGAGGTTAGCCTCAGGGTTTGTGGTCAGGGTTAGGCTATAAAAGTTCCAAAAAATGAATGGAAGTCAGTGGAAAGTCCCCATAAGGATAGAGAGACATAGTAGGTGTGGATGTGTGTGGATTTGTAGTTCTGTCAAGTTAGCATTCAATGTGGCTGCCAAAGCCAATCAGCATTAGCCCAAACAAAAATGTGCATAACTCTGTGTTTTTGTAAATGCTTTATTAAAACTTACTGTGGTAGTAGCTGAGTATAATTCACAACACATACTCTGAATTCTACATATTGCACAATAGGGATGTAAGAATACATCGATCCACATCAATGCATTGATTTAATGATTAATGATGTTAAAGACACAGCTTATTTCTGGTGTGGCAGCAGCTGAGCACCATCACATGCTCCAAGCACGAACACAGATCTTGCGCTCGTAGGTTTAACAAACTCGCTGCAACTCTTTCATTTATCATCATAAGATGATTTAATCTAAAATCTGGCATTAAAGATAGCTTTTGATAAGCTTTAAGCAAAGCTTGGCCTTTAACTCTTATAGTTCTAGTAAAAATGAATGTTAACATTTGAACAAAACCTAAAAAAATGGAATTCTTGAGTTTATTTAAATGCTGTCGGATGGCTGTGCTTCCCTCGTATTCTTCTACATCTTCCTCTGCAGTCTTCACGCTGCGTCTTCATTTTCAACGTGTGTCCTACTTTCGTCTTTCAGCTTGTAGGATTTTGCTGGAGTTTGTGTTCGTGCCGAGTTTTTCCTTTCCRTCCCTTCAATAGAAAAAGATTGTCCTCGGAGGAAAACAGAAGGTCCTCGCAGGAGATGCTGAATAAGTGTCAGCTCAAAGTTGTGGTGAATTCGCAAGTTTGACGCGCCCATGATCAGAGAGGAAAACTTCTCTGTCAACATCTCCTGTTTTCACTCATAGGACGTATGTTTTTTTTAATCTTTATAGTATCTTCAGGGTGTTCTCTGCAGACAGGAAGCGAGTGGAGACAGCGTTGGAAAACTGCAACCTCCCTTCTGGCAGAGTAAGACAACAAAACACCAAAGCTTTCTGTTTTTTAATTTCATTTTTTCTCCAATATATTACAGTCTCCCTGTATTTCCTCTGTTTATAAATCAGCTTCCACACGTCTCTTCTCTCTGTCTCATCCTTTCTGTCTTATCTCAGTCTTCGAGCTCTTTAATCTTCTCCACCCATCCATCAGCCGGTCCTCTCGCCATTTAGCCCATTATCTATCCACCTGAAGCCACAACTGATTGCCGCTTCGCTCATTTGTTTGGAGTCATACTTTCTGCATGCCTGCATGACTTCCCACTCAGAACTGATTTAGTCGTGGTTGTAATACAACAAACCGACCCACGGGGAGCAATAAAGATGACAAAAGCTGCTTTATAACTACCTTTTTTTAAAGACTTCACTCTAAAAGAAGCTGCCTCCTCATGCAAAGGCGTGCAAGCAGTCCCTCGGCACCGTCTCTGCATTCTAACAAAACAGCAGCAAGCAATTTGCATCCCTGGAAGTGGCGAAAATGCTGTTTAATGAAGTTCCAAACACATGCCGAWACATATGGGCACACAGGAGAGCGGACACAGCGAAGCTCTAATAAACGGCTTCTGAATACAAACAGAGGAAACACACAGAAAAACAAACATGCACAGAGAGAGGGAGAGAGAGAGCGAACAGGCTAAACATAATTAGCACAAGGAAGGACGACAGGAGAAAAAAAACATGTTGCTGTATGAAGGTCTAGTGGGATTTGTTGTTGTTCCATTGCACAAGTAATTACAGCTAAATGATATTGCTGTTAATCCCTCAAACACACACACACACACACACATAAACACACACATTCTCTCTCTCCATGCATCCACAACGCGTTCCTCACAAGGTCCTCTGAAGAATCAGTGAGTGTCAGCAGGGCTTGACCTGCATCCCTCTCCCTCAGTGCATCCTTCCACACCTCCTTTTTYCCTCACTTCTTTCTGGTTCTGCTCTGATTGTTGCTGCTGCTGACTGCGGAGGGCACTCTGTCTTTATCAGACCTGCTTGATTCTGATAGCTATGGGGAAAAAAACTTGCTCTACAGGTGTGAACCCCAGCAAGTTCTGATAACTATTTGGATTTTCAGACTTGCATAACCTTAAGATTTTGCATACATGAATAAAAAAAGCACTACAACAAATTGATTGAAACTGTGCAATTAATGAACAGTAGACAACATGACTCGATACCCTGCAGAGGCATTAAAGGTGAGGTTAATAATCCGATCGAACTGGAAAGAATGTTTTAGGTACAACTCCACAGACATGCAATAGGTGTATATCCAGGGTTGCTCTAATGTATTATTAGGCTGGTAGGCACTTGCACAGTGTGCGCTAAAAATTGTCCTCATCAGCATTGAGCAGTGAAGCTAAAATCTATTGTAATGCCCCTCAGCATGCAAAAAATGAGTCGTAGTCCTCTGCAAACACTTTAGAGTTTTATGAAACGTCCAAAAACAGGTAACAGGAGGTGCTATTATAGGCACAACTCGCTGGAAAACATAGTTAACCCCATCAGTCTGTTTTCTCTGTCCCAGTGTTGCTCTGGGCTCATGGTGATCCTCATGTATGTTTAATTAGTGGGAGAGGGCTTGATTCAGGGGGATTCCGATAACATTGTTGTTGCACTTTCCTGTATTGACAACTATAGAATTTAAAGCGATGCTCAGGTCACTAGTAGACAGTTGGTCGTTGCATTTAAGGCATAACCGGTCATAACTGGTCATCATTTGGGGGCCCCACATCAACCTGGAGATTAAACTATTGCCTGTTTTGCCTGGCCTGTTGCATGGAGCCTGAATGAAATAGTAACAAGTTGATCAATGTTACATTTTCAGACGTTTGATAGATGGTTCGGTAGATTTGGCTTACATAACTAATAAGAGCTCTCTCATTGAAGACACTATAAGGCAGTGAAATGATCAGGTCACACGCTGGTAACAGACTGACGAATGCATCGAGGTGTAGTTATGCTTTATATTACACTATTGTCTCCGTAGCCTCCATCTCAAACACTGAGCATCACTAAAGAGAAAATAAAACCACTACGCTGCAGAAATCACAGCAAAGAGTTTACACGAATACTTCTTGTAAACAAACAGAGCTAACACAGCCAAGATTAAATTTGCAGCAAATTTTACTTAATTTGACTTTATGTTATTGCTAGATTTTTTTAAATGGTATACTGTTTACCTGTATTACCACTCAAACCTACTACTGACTTACTGATTCACAGTATATAATGAACTCTTTAATTACAATTTTGGCCACAAAAACTGTCTTTTAATGACCAAGAACGCTGTCCTGATGCATCTCAGTAATCCAGGTAAAAATCAAAAAGAAAAAAATTGTATAGGTCTTCTGGACGGGTTCTTCTCTAGTGAAACGTTTCATCTCTCCTCCAAGAGACTTCTTCAGTCTGAGAGTTTACCACTGGTTTGGGTCTGGGTTTGGGGTCTTCATTTTCACCTGAAGGTTGCATGGAATCTTGTCTCTGTTTTCTGTCTGCTTTCAGGAAAGCCCAGTCAGGATAACCACACTGCTCCAGGGCCTGTCGTGTGTGTGATTTCTCTTTCTGCCTGGCTCCTGGGT